ACCACAAAAAAAAAAAAAAAAAACTTTTTTTGATTTGGTATATAATCTGATATTTATACAAAGACCTTAAGATTTTCATTTCCTTTCCAATTTTCTCATAACAAAATCATAAACACACTACATAAACTTATCTCTATGTAAATTATTGTGATACAAATACTGTTCATTACTAATAAAGTGTTAATTAAAATTTTACATACCTGTTTCCCATTCACATAGAAAATGAGATTATTTGAAGCTTGTGGTTGAGCCATCAGTATTCTATCCAGCTCTGCAAAGATTAGTTGTGCAATTAATTCCAAACCTCAGCAGCCTTTCTTCTACTAACCCAAAGAAACCAGGTAGGAGAACTATTTTGTAAGCTTGTAAAGTCACCAAACAGGTTATCAAGTTTCAATAGCTGTCAAATCTATGTTCACATTTATATTCTCCTATACTTTGACATTGCCTACCAAATGCAGTGGAAAAGTCTGTTAGAGAGCAGGATCTTGCTGGTTTTGGGTGATTAATAGTCTTCCTAGACAACAGGTGAAATATATATCTATTTGTTATCTAAATGAGTAACCCTGTGTTAAAGGAAACCTATCATGAGAGAAGCATGAAAGCTTTGATGAACCTCTACTTTTTCAATGTGCGCAGTGCCTGGCTGTCAGAGTGATCCACTTACTACAATTTTTGGACTCTCTGTCTGGCTCAAGTATGTAGATAACGACTTCTTGCAGTTCTGACCTTTATAATTGTTCCAGGTCAATCATTCAGAAAGATTTGAAGGTTGATGCGGTACCACTTAATTGAGCCAAATCATAGTTTTACTATCTCCCAACGGTCTTCCTTTTTAGCTGGTAAAAAAGGCAGTTGGATCTCCCAACGGGGGTGTACAGTGGATGGGGGTGTACAAATGCCATGGAGGTGATGCTTTGCTTTGCAGCAGGAATTATAACCTGTCACATTCAGTGCCCATTATCACCCACTGAATGCAACCTATTCAAGTGAATGGGGCCACACTGCAACCACATACAGGTGAAACTCGAAAAATGAGAATATCGTGCAAAAGTTCATTTATTTCAGTAATGCAACTTAAAAGGTGAAACTAATATATGAGATAGACTCATTACATGCAAAGCAAGATAGTTCAAGCCGTGATTTGTTATAATTGTGATGATTATGGCTTACAGCTCATGAAAACCCCAAATCCACAATCTCAGAAAATTAGAATATTACATGCAATCAATAAAACAAGGATTGTACATAGAACAATATCGGACCTCTGAACAGTATAAGCATGCATATGTACTCAGTACTTGGTTTGGACCCCTTTTGCAGCAATTACTGCCTCAATGCGGCGTGGCATGGAAGCTATCAGCCTGTGGCACTGCTGAGGTGTTATGGAAGACCAGGATGCTTCAATAGTGGCCTTCAGCTCTTCTGCGTTGTTCGGTCTCATGTCTGTCATCTTTCTCTTGGCAATGCCCCATAGATTCTCTATGGGGTTCAGGTCAGGCGAGTTTGCTGGCCAATCCAGCACAGTAATCCCACGGTCACTGAACCAGGTTTTGGTGCTTTTGGCAGTGTGGGCAGGTGCCAAGTCCTGCTGGGAAAATGAAGTCAGCATCCCCATAAAGCTTGTCTGCGGAAGGAAGCATGAAGTGCTCCAAAATCTCCTGGTAGACAAATATCTTGCAGTGTGTGCCTCTCCATTCTTCCTTCATACTCTGGGTCCTTGGTTTCCAAATGAGATGTAAAACTGTCTCTCATCAGAAAAGAGGACTTTGGGCCACTGAGCAACAGACCAGGTCTGTTTTTATTTAGCCCAGGTAAGACGCTTCTGACGTTGTTTGTCGTTCAGGAGCGGCTTGCCAAGAGGAATATGACATTTGAAGCCCATGTCCAGGATCCATCTGTGTGTGGTGGCTCTTGATGCACTGACTCCAGCCTCAGTCCACTCCTTGTGAAAGTTCCCAACACTTTTGAATGGCCTTTTTCTGACAATCCTCTCCAAGCTGCGGTCATCCCTGCTGCTTGTGCACCTTTTTCTTCCACACTTTTCCCTTCCACATAACTTTCTATGAATGTGCTTTGATACAGCACTTTGGAAACATCCAACTTCTTTTGCAATTACCTTCTGAGGCTTTCCCTCCTTATGGAGGGTGTCAATGATGATTTTCTGCACAACTGTCAGGTCAGCAGTCTTTCCCATGATTGTGATTCACACTGAACCAGACTGAGAGACCATTTAAAGGCTCAGGAACCCTTTGCAGGTGCTATGGCTTAATTAGCTGATTAGAGTGGGACACTTTGAGCCTAGAATATTGCACCTTTTCACAATATTCTAATTTTCTGAGATTGTGGATTTGGGGATTTTCATGAGCTGTAAGCCATAATCATCACAATTATGACAAATCACGGCTTGAATTATCTTGCTTTGCATGTAATGAGTCTATCTCATATATTAGTTTCACCTTTTAAGTTGCATTACTGAAATAAATGAACTTTTGCACAATATTCTAATTTTTCGAGTTTCATCTGTACATTCATATGGCTGTGAAGTGGTATCGTGGCATTTAGGGGGTTAAAATGGGCGGTGAGGAGGAAACATATCACCTCCTCACCACCTGTCATGCACCTCTGGAAAGTGAACCAAGCTTGGATCTCTTTTCAGAAGAGTGGCAGTCCCTGCTCATATTGTGAACGAACCCTGTAGTAAGCAGTGCTCAAATTTACATGACAATGAAAGGGGAGCACAGCACCTGCCCAAACCACATCTAGAGTAACAAGCACCAGAACTGGCACATTTAACCTTTCTAGCGGTCTGATTATGTCCATATTTCTGTGTTGAAAGCGGTACATTTTTTTGCATGGAAATATGTATTTTTTTTTTATTGTAGGCCTGTAATTTTTAGGAATAACTCACTGAAATCTGTTTGAACAAGAGTCTAGTAAACATTCCGGGTAGGATAAAACTTGAAAACACAAAATCATAAATTATAATTTAATAAATAATCATAAAAATAATAATATAATTATAAATTTAATTAAATAATATAATCAAACCAAAAACACTGAAATTTGAAATATAGCACGAAGTTCGCACATCGCTGAGTAAAGTCGCAAAATCGTTTTCAGTGTCTGATGACGAATTTCCCCACAAATCATTATCACTCAATTCTGCAAGTGGTTCTGATTTACTATCGCTGTTCTCTAGCCGGTCTAAAACCGCTTTTGATCTAAAGGGACGCTTTTTTGGACGCCATGGATGTTTTTCAGTTTCCTGGCAGAAAGAACAGTCAAAATGCAGGCAGGGCACAGGACAAAGCAGTAGGGACAAAATGTATGTGAAATGGTTTGATATAGTAATGTTTTACTATGTCAAATTCATTTATTTGAAAATGACAATTTCTAAAAAATTTTAAATTTTCCGCCGGTTCCGGCCCCCGTACGTCCCGTACGTCCCGACGCTCGCAGGGACCGGAACACGGAAGCCGGATGCCGGCATCGGCCGGGGACACTGCAGGGGGCACATCGCGGGAGCGCAGGACAAGGTAAGTGCTGCAGGGAATCCCTGAGCAACGCCACATGGTAAGCCCGAGTGTAGCTCGGGGTTACCGCTTTTGGTACTGAAACTTTACCCCCAAGCTACACTCGGGAATACCACCAGGGAGGTTAAAGGAGGGGAGCTAGTCTCATGCTCCTTTTATCCAAAAACATTGATTTTCTTCACTCCTTGCAATTGAAAAGGCAGAACAGTAAAGAAAAGGTAAGTATTACTACTGAGCAGTTAAGTGGGCCTGTTACTTTGCCCTGTATGGGTAAAGCACAGGTTTCTTTGAGGTCCCATTCACATTTTGCTGTTCTTGTGTGTTTTGGATTACAGTGTATTGTGTTAAGGCAGCAAGTTTAAATGAATGGACTACCAGTTCTCCAGAATGGACACAAAAATGAATAGTTAGCATTTTTTCAGACACAGCGCACCACAGCATACAAAATTGTGTTACTGCATGTTGTGATGAACTGCAATATATGTGCGTCAGATGTGTGTTGCTTATGTGTATTTGGGTGCCATTTAAAATATACTAATTCGTATATTTACAACATGCTAATGCGTATAACATGGATTATAGTTTTACCGCAATACACCAGAGCAGATATTTGCACCCCTAAGGTAATTTAAACCTCAATCTTAACATTCTAATGAAGTGAAAACATATACCGTATTTGCCGGCGTATAAGACGACTGGGCGTATAAGACGACCCCCCTACTTTTCCTGCTAAAATTTAGTGTTTGAGCTATACTCGCCGTATAAGACTACCCCTCTTCCAATGCACACCAGTGGCAGGAATAGTGCCCCATCATTGGTATCAGTGGCAGGAATAGTGCCCCATCATTGGTATCAGTGGGAGGAATAGTGCCCCATCATTGGTATCAGTGGCAGGAATAGTGCCCCATCATTGGTATCAGTGGCAGGAATAGTGCCCCATCATTGGTATCAGTGGCAGGAATAGTGCCCCATCATTGGTATCAGTGGCAGGAATAGTGCCCCATCATTGGCGTTAGTGGCAGGAATAGTGCCCCATCATTGGTGTCAGTGGGAGGAATAGTGCCCCATCGTTAGTATCAGTGGGGGGAATAGTGCCCAATCGTTGGTCTCAGTGGGAGGAATGGTGTCCCAACGTTGGTGTCAGTGGGAGGAATGGTGTCCCATCGTTGGTGTCAGTGGGGGGTGGAATAGTGCCCCATCGTTGGTGTCAGTGGGGGGGGGAATAGTGCCCCATCGTTGGTGTCAGTGTCAGGGGGGGGGGAATAGTGCCCCATCGTTGGTGTCAGTGGGGGGGGGGAATGCCCCATCGTGCCCCATCGTGCCCCATCGGTGTCAGTGGGGGGGAGGAGGAATAGTGCCCCATCGTTGGTGTCAGTGGGGGGGAGGAAATAGTGCCCCATCGTTGGTGTCAGTGGGGGGGAGGAATAGTGCCCCATCGTTGGTGTCAGTGGGGGGGAGGAATAGTGCCCATCATCGTTGGTGCCCCATCTTTGGTGTCAGTGGGGGGGAGGAATAGTGCCCCATCGTTGGTGTCAGTGGGGGGGGAGGAATAGTGCCCCATCGTTGGTGTCAGTGGGGGGGAGGAATAGTGCCCCATCATTGGTGTCAGTGGGAGGAATAGTGCCCCATCATTGGTATCAGTGGGAGGAATAGTGCTCCATCATTGGTATCAGTGACACCAATGATGGGGCACTATTCCTCCCACTGACACTTGCTGACCCTGTTCTCGTATGGTGCTGCTGCAGCCAGCATATGTGGTTGCAGCAGCACCTCTCTACACTGACCACTTACCTGCTGGTCCTGCACTCGATTTTCGCGGGGGCCGCTCGGCTCCACCCCCTCGCCGGTGATTGGCCGCCTGTGTGCCTTTCCTGAGCTACAGTTCTGGCGGCCAATCACTGGTGAGGAGGCGGAGCCGAGCAGCCGCACGAACATCCAGTGGCCGAACTGAAGGCGCAGCCGCGCTTCCTGGACCGGATCGTCGTGGGACCGGAACCAGGTAAGAAACAGCCGCTGCCCACCCCTGTACTTAGTGTCCCTTCCATTGGGGGAAGGGGGGGGGCGGCGGCGGCAACGCGCCGCCCCCCTAAAAAGTGTCAGTATGCCGTATACCGGCGTATAAGACGACCCCCCCCGACTTTTGAGAAGATTTTCAAGGGGTAAAAAGTCGTCTTATACGCCGGCAAATACGGTATTCTAAAAAATATTTATTCCACCAATAAGTGTGTACCATAGGTACATAGGTTGCAACATAAACTCAGCACACATTGCATGAAAAATTAGGGGCCCCCTCACACTATGCATTGCGTTAACACACACACGTTAATGCAACGTGTTATCATACATTAAGGCTTGGTTCACTGTATGCATGTGCGTATGCTTGTGCAAATCGCCTGTAGAGCAGCTAATTCTTTTCAACTGGATCCCCTACTTGTGAGAATCATGAGGAAAGAAGTCCCGTTCCTTTTTTTAAAAAATGAGGCGCACAGAACTGCATGTTGCTGGTTTGGCGTTTGAAAACTTGTGCTGGTGCTAATGTTTGAGGGTGCCATTAAAATATAATAGCACCCCTGTGTGTATGCTAAAGAGCAGTGTGTTTCTGTGTGGGTTGGGAATGTGTGGAACAAGAAAAAAGGCTTTTGGCTGCTGATTTTTATTTGTATTCAGTGTCAGGTGCACCTTGCTGCAGTGTCCAACAATAGTCCGACAGCACTGATGGATTCCAGTTGATACCATTTTTTCATTGTTGCAACATTCCTGGTGAAAACTTTCACCGTGTTCTTCATGAACTGTACCTAAATTAGTCCCACGTGTAAATGTAGAAAATTAATTTTCAGTGATATGTCACACTTCATGGTCTTGTGTGCTGTAAGAAGTTTGCCAATCAGCTGAATGTGGTGCTCTGTAGCTGCCAAGAGAATTCTGTATGACAGGCAAACAGACAGGTGATTGTCTCTGGCCCCACTAACAGATCTTCAAACCAATTGTCATTGATGATGTATCTGATCTGTGAACCAACAAAAATGGCTCCCATAATATTGACATCATTTATTCTTGGAAACATCTGTCTCATATAACAAAAACCTTCACCTTCCCTGTTCTTCACTTTTATTAAGTCTTTTGTCAGTTCGAGCTTTAGGTGAAGCAGAGGCAAAAAGATCTTTGTTGGGTCAACAAGTGGTTAATTTGCCATGTTTTTCCATCCTGGAGCCAAATTCTTTTGGAGTGGCCATTTTTTCTTATGTAATGCAACATTCTGGCACACATATTTAACAACAGTACTTGGTATATCCGATCTGCATTTGAAGCAGCAGAGCCACTACTTTTAGAACTCCACAGATATTCCAGTTGTGTTTAGTGTACTGGACATGTTTTAACTATAATCCCATGTTTTCATATGTTTCATTCACGTGTGCAGTATAGCAAACTGGTATTGAAAGGTGTACATTGTGTAACAAGACAGCCTTGAGGCCTAACACTGATGAATCAATAAACAGAAACCATTCTAGTATTTCATGCTCACAACTCTAAGCTATGAAGAAACTCTCAATAGTGCAGAAAATTAGGTTGTCAAATTAGGTTGTGTAAAGAATTTTTTTTTCATCATCTTGGTAGCTTTGAAAGACAAAAATATATGTACCTAGTAATAGTGAAGACCATCCTTGCAGTCTTGAACTGTTTTGCCTCTTCAATCTAAGCACTAAAAGTATGTAGCGCTACTCCTGTAGGAGTCCCAGGACTTTGTCTAAAATCCAGAACAAGCTATATCGGAGTCTGAACTTGAATAAAAATGGTGGACTTCAGCTTTAAGTAGTAGCAACACATAGTAACTTCCTTAGAGCTCAGAGCAGTGTCCCTTTAAGTAGTAGTGCAGTGAAATGGACAAAGCTCTTTGGAACACCAGCTGGTATTTCCTTTGCTAAACCCACAGCTAACTTCCTAGCATCAGTGGGGGTTAATAGCACACACTCTCTAAGATCCTTAGGGATGTCTGTACTCACTAAGCCCAAGAGACACTGGACACCTCCCTCCATGGTACCAGGCAAGGAGACAGCTACTCAGTCAGCACAGCAGAGCCCAGGTCTCAGCAATTCAGGCCTGGTAGCCCCCCTGAGGCCCACGGAAGCAACTGCCTGGGACAGCAACATGCCCTCACCCTTGCTTGGACAACCCTATCCAGAAAAATCCAGAACTCAGTGGGGTCAGTGAATATATAAAATTATCCAGAATGCCTTGGAGCCCCCTCACTCTGGGATAGGCTGAGGCTGTATCAATATTGATGTTGCTATTTGCATAGCTCCACACCTATCATCCAGAAACCTCTGCAGTAACCTGGATACAAAGGAAACCAGGCAGGCTAGCAGCACTTGAGCAAGCAGAGCAGAGCTCACTAGCTGATCATAACTCACTCAGTACAGTAAGCTAACTATACTTTTACCTAGCAACAATTAGAGTCACTGCCTACATAGTGACAACTACATTAAGCTATCAAAACATATCTATTCTAAATACTGGCCAAAGACTAAACTCCTTCCTGAACAGGTATATATGCCCTGACCAGGTTGATTTCATCCCTCTATGACAGGCCCTGGACCAACTGCGGTGCCTAATTGACATCATCTCAGTGATACATTGGGACAAACAGGGCCAAAGATGAGGCATGCTCTTATCCCTAGACTTGCATAAAGCCTTTGACTCCGTTTCCTGGGAATATATTTTCCTCACTCTTCACATATATGGATTTTTTTAACCCTGTTGCAGATGCTTTATCATAAACCCACAGCCAATCTTCTTGTGGGCTATGGGGTATGGCTCTCCATGAATATCTATTGGATGAGGCACTCGACAGGGATGCCCTTTGTCTCCTATATTATTCATTTGAGCACTTGGACTTCTGGTAATCAAACTCAGGAGCAACCCTGACATTCAGGAGATACACTGTGGGAGCTGTGTCCACAAATGTGCCCTGTTTGTGGATGATATCTTGCTGATTCTCTCCTCTCCAATCACATCCATCCCTAAACTTCACGCAAACCTGCAGCTCTTCTCCTTCAAATTGGGTCTAAAGGTAAACCTTTATAAGTCACGAGCTATGTACATTTCATTAGAACATTCTACGGTCTAGGCCCTTAAACACTCTTTTCCATTTAAATGGCAATCCAATGACCTCCCATATTTAGGTATAAATCTGACCTCTACTCTATGAACTCTATACCAAAAGAACTAACCACCACTTTATAAAAAAAAACTTATTGATGATTTGACTAGGTTGACCCAGAACCCCCCCCTTCCTGGTTCACGAATGTCAGGGATGCAGGTGTGACCAGAAGTGTGTGGACTGACACAGGGAAACGCAAGCTTCAGATATGGTATAAATAAGACAATTTATTAAGACTAACAATACAAACATAAACGCAGTGCACCAAACCCCAAGCTAACACAAATACATACAACAAGGTGAAACAAACCCAAACCTAAACTGATACAGATACACAGGTACATACACATGTAGAGCACAACGTAGTCAGGCAGGCCGGGTCGATAACTATCGGGCAGGTAGGTACAGGAGGAGCAGGCGGAGAGAATGGTCAGGGTCACAAGCCAGGGATCAAAACAGGAGAAGTCAGCAGAGGTCAGGATCAGGCAGGGTCGGCAACAAGTCAGGCAGGAACAGGAACAGAAACAGGAATGCAGGTTATAAGATACAGGGGCCCATGGAAAAACACACACCAAGGCACAGACTGCAGGTCTGGCCATCCCTTAAATACACCTGCAATCAGCCTCAGGTGATGGCTAATTGCCGAAGTGAACCTCTGGTTGTTGAGAGCACCCGCTGGCCAGCCCTGGTACTGCAGCCCACAAGGCAGGTGAGTCCCACCACTATTGGCAAGTCCATTCCTGACAGGGAAGCTGCGCTTGCTTAAGATGAAACATCTTACCAGGTCTCCTTTACCTCTTCCGAACTCTACCGGTGTCCATTAACCTACTGAGTCTTACATTTCAACAAAAATTGATGCTATATATCTGGGGTGACAGATGACCTAGGGTGAATAAAACTACGTTTTATGATCCCAGATTGGGGGAGGCCTGGGGTCCTGGACCTGACTAAATATTATCAGGAGGCCCAATTGGCTCCGCTAATTAGATTTAGGAGAGCCGTCCAATATGGATGCATATAGAATCATCTATCACCCATGAGACCAGTCAGTCACCTACTGTGAATGCAGGCCAGGAAGAGTCCCACAAATCTTTGCCCCTCAATGTCCTTTTCCATGGGCCTATGGGACAGATTAGCCACTAAACACAAGTTCAAATCTGCTCAAAATCCACTGGCTCCATTGCTGGAGAACCCCTAATTCACCTTCACAGGTCTAATACCCCAGAATTTCCAGTGGTGGACCAACAAGGGCCTTCTGCGTATAGCAGATTTCTATGACCTTCGAGGGGTTTTGTTATTGCCACTCCTACAAGAAAAATACAACTTAAAATACCATTATGCTCAGATTGCACACTTCATATGTTCCATGAGTAGAAGGTTGAACCTCTCCACTACAATGCCTATGGAATATCTATGTAGGGGCATTGACAAACACTCCAACTATATCTCCAAACTCTATGTTATGCTGTCCTCTACTGAGGTTAAGTTATCTTATATGGAGAGTTGGGAAAGGGACA